ATATTTTTATGAAAAATATCGATTTTTCGATATTTTTTGCCCAAGCTACCCTAGCGTGTGGGTTAATCTGTGCGTGTGGGCTTGCTTGTGCCTTTTTCATAATTAAGATTGTTTATATTTTATAATCGGTGTCGGAGGTTTCATACTCGCAGTATTCTAATTTAATTAAATTTATTTTGCAACGTAATCTCTAACGTTATTAAAATGTCAGTAGCATTTGCGCCGAGAGGAAATCGGCCGCCTTTAACTCCTGCCCAAATACAAAAAATGTTGGATGAAAATGCTCATTTAATACAAACTATTCAAGAGTATCAATCAAAAGGCCAATTGATGGAATGCCATCAATATCAACAGGTTTTACACAGAAACTTGGTGTACTTAGCATCTGTAGCTGATGCTAATCAAAATATACAAGCAATTTTACCGGTAAATACTTTGATAAACCATAAATCATATTCCTAATAATTTTGCTTTTCAGCAGCCGTATTGAGTAAATTATTCCGGCGATTAGTTTCATCTACTAGAAACTGATGCTAACGTCTGTTCTGTTTGCTTGAATTAACATCAAGAATATACTTTAAGTTACATATCCATTTCATATAAATACCTTAATGGAAGTCTGTGATCAATGTAACACTTCCTAGTGTTTCAGTGATTCAACTTTATTTTATGAAATAAATGTTATTCAATCAAATAAAGTACTAAGAACCCAATGTGCACGAAATAACTTACTAATCCTATATCAAATCCTTTGTGTGCTGTGGGAATAGATCATGTTTTGTCACATGATGTAAAATTAACATTGTTCTGTACAATTCATATAATCATCAATTCTTAACTTTAATGTGGAAGATACTATGAATGTTCAGTCTGTGAACTTATAATGGGGTGATAAGATGAGGAATCAAATTGGTACCATTGGTCTTATAGTTACTTCACAAATAAGTTCTCACTGACTAGTTAGTAAATGGGATAAAAATGGTCTTCTCCAATCACCTCCTCGCACATAGTGACTATCTTAACTCACACCCACCAGTAATGAAAAATAAAAAGCATAAGATATGGATGTTGCAATAAGCTTATTTACCAGAACATTTTTACACACATTGGATTTGTGACATGGTTCTTCATTGCTGGCTTTATGAGGATGTTTGCAGTTGCTCAGCAAACCATTGAAAGCTATGCTTGGAGTTTTTCTACGATAGACTTATTTCTGAGGATATCTGTAGTAGAACTAGGGTAATCTACATACCACAATGGATCAGTAAGCTGAAGCAATATCTGTTGGGTCAGCCTAATAGCTCAAAGAACCCACTACCAATAGGACAGACAGGTTCTAGAGTTGTAGCCACAAACCAGAAAGTGATGTGTATGGTAGACACAGACTAAATGATCACCTGGTAAGATGCAGAAAGTTAATGGATCTAGGTGGCTAAGAAGTGTGCTTAGTGGCATTCTGATTTCCGATTCCGAGCATTCCTGGATCTCCAAGGAATGCCACTAAGAACCTATGTTCAGCTGAGGACCTGTGATGGCTGTAATGATGATGACTGGACAATTCTGGTGAACATATATAATATACATACATAATATACTAATCAGATTTTTTATAAATCATTTTTTTTACATAATATAATTTCTGGTATAACAAATAATTATGTCCTTCAGACAGAATTTCAATCATCATGACCAGTTTTAATGGAGACTACCCTCTGTGCAGAATAGGATTATAGTGACGGATTGTATGTGCAAGCACAGGTGCACTCTACTCCCTCACTCTCATTGTCTGATGGACAGCCAACTGACACAATCTGAGAAACATCAGATGTAGGACTAATGTCTTCATGTACTTTCCGAGGCACTGGAGTGAAACACAGCCAAATTCCTGCTTTCAGGCTGCAACTGAAAATTACTTGACAGAAAAATTCAACTGATTTTTCCTTGCCCCACCAAGGGTTCGAACCCGAGACCTTTTAAGCAGCTATCCGGTTTTCCATCATTAGATCAACAAGACAGTCAATAACAATCCAACTTAATAAAGTACAATAAACGCTGACAGTGCAAGCTTAGTGTTATAAACTGCCATTTCTAATCCTATTTTTTATCGGCAGTCATTTTTGTCTTATTACAAAAAGTTATAGTTGTTTGTAATTAGTCTCATGTTAAACTGGTCTGCTTCAATAAATTATGGGATTTGATAGTAAATGTCGAATTTTTTATGAGTGGTGGTGAGGCTAAGGGACCTTTATAACAATAACTTTTCTTTAAACCTGAGACTATCAATAAATCATGTTTTGTAATAAGACCACTATGTTTACATTCTACAAAGAATGAATCATTGTAATAAAAGACTTATTAACTTAAATTGTTAAATTGCTACAGCCACCACATCAACTTGCTGCTGGTAATGTACCACAAAACCCGCTGAATAGCCCCTCAAATGCAGCGGATGTACCTGGATCACCTCAACAACCCTATCGCCCACCTGGAGTTTCTACAACACCTACAAGACCAACCCAATCTTATGGACAAAGGCCATATCCTCAAAATCAATACCAAGGCCAGTATCAGGGGGCACCAGGAGTTTATCCACCTCAAAGTGGGTATGGACCACCTAATCAGGGATATGGGCCTCCAAATCCATCTCAGCAACCTCAGGGATATGCTCCTAACTCCACATATGGTCCACCTATCACTACAACACCAAGTAATTATCCTCCATCTACACATCAAGGCTCTGGGTATCCACCATCAACTGTTCAACAGTCTTATGCTCCTCCTCCAGGCAGCCCAGCTGTAGCTGGATCACCCTATCCTGTACGTGGAGCCAGCCAACCAGCATACACTGGTAATTCTGGATATGCACCTCCACAGTCTGGGGCAAATTATCCAAATGTAGGAGTTAGTACATACAATTCAACTTCTGCACAGCCTCAGCCTTATCAATCTCAACCATTTCCTAACACTACACCTACTTCTGCTTACAGTTCAACTCCTATATCTCAACCAAATCGTTCCCCTCAGCCTCCATCTAGTGGATATAATTCACAAAACCCAAGTAGTACGGGATATGGTTCTCCTTCAGCACAATCACCCACTTATAATTCAAGTTCCCATGGAAATAATGTTCCACCTTCAACAGTAGCATCAGGAGTTTCTTCCCAAGGTGGTCCACCTGGGCAACAATATCCACCTTCTGGACAACCATCTCCATATCCTGCGGGAACACAACCACCATATTCGAATCCTTCGTCCCAGCCAGGAAGCCCAGCGCCATCAGTTTCAACAGCACCACCAGTTCAGACTTCATACCCACAAAATCCACAAAGTTACCCACCTACTGGTGGAGCATATCCTCCCCATGCATATCAACAAAGTTATCCGCCAGCACAATATCCTCCTTCCCCGTATCCCTATGCGCGAGCTCCAGCTCCTGGGGCTCCACCACCTGGTACACCACAACCATATCCAGGTTATGGTTTTCAACCTCCAAACCAGCAATAGAAATAAAAACAACTGATGAAAATACTTTATGTAAATTTGGATAAAGTTCTTTTGTAAAAATAGTTTAATTAAGAAATAATACCAGCTTTTTGTTTCTTTTTGTAGTAAAATAATTGCATAAACAGTTAAAAATAAGCAACTAGATTTAGTAACACTTAATTTTAATCCTAATTTTGTCGGAGTTTATGAACTTAAATTTTTCTATATGTAATTAAGTGATTAATTAATACGCTATTGTTATGGTATTATGTAATAAAATATTGTTAATAAAATGTGAAATAAATGAACTGATTGAAATCTTGTCCAATGCCTTATTTTTTCAAAGATAATTTTAAAATAATTTGCAGTGAACAGTCGTCAAAATAAAATTATGATAGAATAAACTTTTTATGCAGAAGCTAAAATAAACACTTTCTTTAAAGAAGTGGGCAACAAATTGATGCAACCTAGACGAAGGTATTGGTGTAAATACTTACATCCAGACTGGCAATGGAGTAAATGACAATGAGGGCAAATAATCTTATGCCCACTACCCACTAGATGTCGCTACTTGGGACTAAGGTGAACTAATTTGTTATGCAGATGGTCGCAGTGTCATTACCATTGAAAAGTTGCTGAAAAACTTATTATTAAATTATAAGTTTTTCGGTTTCTAGTGAAGGTATTATACACAAAATGCCTCACTGCTGTTATTCATAAATTTTTTAAACATTTCTAATGTAATTTAAATAAAATGTTACTAACTAGCGATCCGCCCCGGTTTCGCACGGTTGATTTCTGGATTTCTACAACAATGCCACCTACCGGGTCCAATTGTGAATTTAAATTATTTTCTAATCATCACACATGCAAAATTGCATCAAAATCGGTTCAGCTGTTGAGTTCAGTCACATAAACACGGACAGAAGAATTATATAATATGCATGTATTATATAAACGTTCCTCTTGAATCATTCTGTCTATTGATGAAAACCGCATCAAAATCCATTGCGTAGTTTAAAAGCTCTAAGCGTACAGACGACAAGAAGCGACTTTGTTTTATACTATATAGCGATATTTAAAAAAACATTAATCTCTCCACTTCTGTAACAAATTAACTTGATTTGTTATGAAATCTGTCACATATTTCACCTTATTCCTAAGTCGTGCCGCTCTGGTGGCAGAAAAAGTCGTGATACTATCACTGCACTACTATCACTGTATATCCATAAATAACCTAATATGGGAGAGGCTTTTTACTAGCAGTGTAGGTATTATTAGAGGATGTAAAACAGAAGAAAATAGATATTTGGAGTGATTAACTGATTATAGTCCACAATCAGACAAAGGAACTATCCTAGTTAAATCAATATGACTAATTTTATAAAGTAAATATTATATAGATTTTGTAAATTTGTATAGCTAAAGTCTAAGAAGTAAGGAATTATAAATACAATTATACATAGGTACTGCAAACTTGATTTATTTTTTATACTATACTATATATTATTATTATTCTAAGCTTCATCAAACATTATTGTTTGTTCTTCAAAAGGATGAATTGATTCATCATAATATTCTAACGGTAAGTCATGACTGGCAGGGTGTGTAGGAAATGGTGGTGCTACTTTCAGTTTCTTCAAAGGTAGTACTGTATCATATAAATAACACACAGCTCCTGTTTCTCCAGGTATGCCCACACCCAACATCCACAATATATTATGTTGTGTGTTAATACGCAGAATTTTGACACCTCTTAAGGTTCTCCACCTAAAAAGAATTAGATCATATTAACAATATTTAAAATAACAGTACAAGTTTTACACAACAATATATTTGTATTATTTAGTAGAGACGATGCACCGTCGGTTCTTCGGGCTATATGGCCGGCCCATTGCCACTTCAGTTTACAAATCCATTGGACTATGTCAGTCACTCTTGTTCTACTGCTGATATCCTCATTTCTAAGTTTATCACGCAGAGAAACTACCGAGCATAGCCCGTAGCTCGCTGAACGATCTCATACGGCCAGCAGTGAAGGACCACGTTTCAGATACCTAAAATCATCACTGCCAACACGCACTAGTTGTAAAATCTCGTTTTCTAGTGTATAACTGACGAGATATGCCGTAATTTCCAGAACGCTGCCCAGCAGAGTTGAATCCGTCGATTGACCTCTCGGTCGAATTCGGCCTTACCTAATCTGACTATTTGTCCCAGGTAAATATACTTTGCAACAACTTCGAGCTTAGTGCTCCCAACAACTAGCCATATATAGGTCCAAGAACCGATAACCGATAGGTAAAAAAGGTTCTCAACTGGTAGCCTCGTGCCGGTAGGCGAAGTGTAGGGCGACCCCCCACTAGATGGAGTGACGACCTATTAAGACATGCAGGAAGTTGATGGATGCAGGTGACTCAGTACCATGCTTTGTGGTATTTCTTGCGGGAGGCCCATGTTCAGTAGTGGACTTGTGAAGGGCTGTAATGATGATGTACCGTATCTGTGAGTGTGCGTCATACTTCCCTTTCCTCATATCCCCATTTTTATCCCTTCCATTTTATTCGTTCAATTTGTTTCGGCGTCGTATCCAGGTTTTATAGCTTGCGACTGCCTTGTGCTAATGCATCATAGAAATCTCTTACTAAGAGGCCTATATTATTGGCATATAATATTACAAGTTTTACGTAACAACCATTCAATTAATGGTGTGCTTTATTCGGCACGTGACGATGCACAGCATCTGTGAGTGACGTACCTATTGCGTATATCCTGGTGACCACGTTATGACGCTATGTTATGAATATGAATCTTTTCCAACAATATTTTTGTATCACCACACTAGTTTCCAATACAAGATAAATAATAAAAGTAACTTAAAGTAAATCACACGTTTTAAACACTATAAAAGTTTACTATATAAGTAGATCACATTTATTTATTTATTCTTTATTGCAAAATTATTAAATCACGTTTTAAACACTATATAAGTAGATCACATTTATTTATTCTTTATTGCAAAATTATTAAATCACACGTTTTAAACACTATAAAAGTTTACTATATAAGTAGATCACATTTATTTATTTATACTTTATTGCAAAATTATTAAATCACGTTTTAAACACTATAAAGGTTTACTATATAAGTAGATCACATTTATTTATTTATTCTTTGTTGCACTAAATATTTGTACAAAAGGCTTTTTATTAATGCTATATGCCATATATATAGTATATGGCATTCTCTACTTGGAAGAAGGAAACCTTGGGTAGAACAGAGAGTGAGTTTGAATTTCACATTGGCTCGAAATTAATATTGCAAGATTACCTTGTGATTTGTCTTGCGATAAAACTTAAACTCCCTCAAAGTTCGAAAACTTTATTAAAAAAAAGTTTGTATAACAGTCGGGTAATAAGGGTTATTATAATATTAAGGTATTTATGGATGATAATATCCCCTGGGAATGAGATGATGCTACCAAGCTAATTCTAATTTGTTTTTGTTGTTAATTGTGTAACATATATGATTGCAAAATATTTTTTTAACTTCCCGCTATGAGTCAATGATTTTTAAAAGATCGGGAAGTTATTGGTTTCACCCCAGTTTTAAAGAAACAAGGTTTCATCAGATCTTGACGTTTTGAGGTCCTAGGAAGCTATTCTGATTATTCCTACGGGGATGTCACTGTGCGTGCGCGCGCGCGCACGCGTGTGTGGGTGCGTGTGTGCTTGTGTATGGATGTATGTAACTTTTGAATGGCTCGGCCGATTTGAACGAATTTGCGGCGTTTGAAAGGGCTTCACCAAACTCAAATTATTTATACCATTAGAACCGATTCGGACCGGTTGATTTTGAGAAATTTCAAATAAAAATTAAATTAAACAAATTGTAACAATCAGTAGTTTACATTTTCCTAAAAAAATATCGTACTTGCTATGAAACCTGTCAAATATTTAACCTCATTGTAAAGTGGCGCCGTCCTGGTGGCAGAAAAAGTCATGAATGCCCGCCCCCATTTTCCGTTAATGAGATGTTAGTTGATAAATTAAATTAAAAAAAATTACAGAGGCGACAGAGGGAAACAGGCAGGAGATGGACAGCAGCATTTTCCTGATAACAGCAAGATTACAATAAAAATTTTGCGGTTGCCAACCCGCTCGCCAAGACTGGCAACTGTAGCAAATATCCCCCCATGAAATGGAAGTTACGAAGAGATGGCCCTAAGCCCGGCAGCCCCGCTATTCCTGGCTACGGTGGCGACCATGGTAACGGCGGAGCAGGGAGTACTAAGAATCTCCGATGGAGGTTCTGCTGCCACCTAAGACGACTCGACCTGGCATCATACAACGCACGCAACCTAAGGACTGATGAGAAGATCCTGGAGCTGAAAGAAGAGATAGACAAGTTACGCTAGCATATTATAGGACTATACGATCCCGAAAAGAGAGGGAGGACACGGTAATCCTCGAATCCGGCAACTTGTTCTATCATCGGGAGAGCGACCATCTGTCCCAAGGAGGTGTTGGATTTATCGTCCACAAGTCTTTCGTTAACAACGTTGTAAAGATTGAGTGTGTCGGCGAGGGTTGCGTATCTTATACTCAGAATCACCAAACGGTATTCGCTGAAGGTCATACAGGTTTACGCACCAACCTCGGCACACCCGGATGAGGAGGTGGAGGAAATGTATGAGGATATCTCTAGAGCCATGCATTCCTCCAAAACCCACTATACGGTGTTAATGTGAGACTTCAATGCAAAACTAGCCACAAGAGAGAATGGTGAGCTGAAGGTGAAAATTCGGAATAGGGCAACGGAACCCAAGGAGCCAGCAGCTGGCCGACTTCATGGAGAAAAAGGGACTCTTTGTGAAGAACTCTTTCTTCTAGAAACGACCTCACAGAAACTGGACCCGGTGGTGCCCCGACGGTTCGACAAAAATGAGATCGACTTTATTATGACGACCAGACGACAACTATTCAGTGATGTCTCGGTGATCACGAGGGTGAAAACTGGTAGCGATCACCGAATTCTTATGGGCACACTGAACCTAAACGGTAAGTTGGAGAGGTTTCGTCTAAAGAAGTCAACGTTCCGTCTAGGCTTGCCAACCGTCCCGGATTTTCCGGGACGTCCCGCTTCTGGGTCAATTTTGGACCGTCCCGCCGTAACCCCTTGCGGGACGCGTTTTGTCCCGGAAATCAGTGATTATATGATATTAGTATCTATCTCGTACCAACTACACCTTAGCCGTAGCTTCGATACCACTTTCAAATGCATTAGCAGAGAGAGTGTTTTCTCTCTGTGGAAATGCATGGACAAACAGCAGAAATATACTGTTTGTTGACCACGTCAAGGCTGAACTACAAATTAACATTAATTTTGATCAAAAATGCATTGAATTTTTGAACCAATGTGTTTTTGTTTTCTATCCAATTTGTATGTGGTGTGCCGTGTCCCGCGTAGTATACCAAAGTCCCGGATGTCGAGCTGGGTAATCCCGGAAATGCCTATTTTGGAGTTGGCAAGCCTAGTTCCGTCCCCCTCGTGCTCTAATCGAAAGTCTCCCGAAACCTTTCAGATCGAGTTACAAAACCGTTTTCAGTGCCTAGAAAACTGCAATGCAGTGGATGATATGAATGACAAGCTCGTGGAGTCGGAGCTAAGTTCTGCAAGACCCGGCGCAAAAGAACACAAAAATTCTCCGATCACAATTGACTAGATGACGGCAGTATAGTCGCCCTCTAGGTAAAACAAAATTAGTACGAGGCTGCCACTCGAGAATCTTTTTTCTCCATCGGTTGTCGGTTCTTCGAGCTATATGGTTGGCCCATAGCCACTTCAGCTTACTAATCCGTTGGGCTATGTCGTTCACTCTGGTTCTACTGCGGTTATCCTCATTTCTAAGTTTATCACGCAGTAGGTATATATTACATTAATATTTTAACAAAAGATACTAGACAGTAATATTACAATTTTAAAAGGGAATGAAAGTGAACGCAAGTAAGACGAAAAGGTTTTTGAAAAATGGTAAAACAACATATGAAATAAGAACAAAAGAGGAGTTGGTTGAGCAAGTGGATGAGTTTGTGTAATTAGGATGTATTTTTAGCGGCGTGACATGACAAGGATATAGAACGAAAGAGTGTATGGGGCATTCTTCATTCTATTGTGGTAAGTCAGAATGTGTTAAAAAAGGCATGTATGGCAATTTACAGTACAGTGTTAGTCCCTACCTTAAAGTATTGTAGTAAAAGTTGGGTGTGGCATAAGAAGCATGAGAGTACAATTAATGCTGTAGAAATGCATAATCATTAAGCAGTATGTTAGGGGTGACTAAATAATATGGTGTGAAAATGTTTGATAAGAGGAAAGTGTGCTTTCCAAGAGGATGTTGTGACAGAAAGATTAAGAAAATAATATATATAGGTGAAGAAAGAATGAATGCATAAACTGCGACAAAGAAAATTGAGGGGCAGAGTTGGCAAGGAATACCTTAGAGGGAAGTTTATCGAACAAATTGGTGATATGTAAAAGACGGTCCATATTAAGAGTAAATATATGGATGTAAAAGAAGCAAGAGAGGTGTATCAGCTTCATGCCAAATGGAAGTCCCTAGTAGGACCTAGTAGTATCCTATTCCTCTGAGAGAGAGACGAGAGAGTAATGCTTAATGTATGCATATGTTTTAGCAATATATGTGTATTATTGTTACAACTACATCTTAGGACTGAATTTCTTGAAGAATCAGCAGTGCGTTGGTAGAAATTGGTCAAGGAGTACTTTAATTTTCTGGTCAAGAAGTGTTTCTAGGCGATATCCAGCCCTGGTAATTTATTTATTGATAATATATTTAGTGTCAAGGTCAGGGAATCTTGTAATGAAAATAATCCCAGCTAACATAATATTAAGAAGGGGACCTTGCTCACAGAACTCTAAGCACTGCATAAAACAGGAGTCTCAGAAAGAAGTTGAAATGAAAAGAAATGAACTAGATTAGTGAGGAGGGGTAGAATAGTGATTAGTGAACAAGATTAGTGACTTCGGCCGACATCATTGTACACTTGTTGTGTGTATACACCAATTTTTCATCCTAATCAGTATTTTTATATTAAACCTGTTAAAACAGAGTACACCAGTATTTAAGTATGTTTAAAGCTATTTTCAACAGAGAAAAGACAGAATTCCATAAGATGCAATTTTGTCAAAGGGAATTTTTACTTATTAAATACTTCCAAAATATTGTAATATTAAATAATTCTACAAACCTGTTACCCATATGGCCAGGCATTTTAGTACCAGGCCAAACACGAGCCTTTTCTCCACCTGCCCCAATGTTACCTGGTCTTCTATGTGTTTTTGTAACACCATGTGATGCAGGCATTCCACTAAATCCCCATCGTTTCATGACACCTTGAAAGCCTCTATCTATACTGTAACATGCAACATTTGTTAAGATATTTGTAGGGTTTTTATATATATATTTAAATAAGATAAATTTATACTGACGTTTTAGCTCTAACGTCAACATAATCTCCAACTCTGAAATGTGTTGCAAACAATGGTGTTCCAGTGGGTAATGCTGCATTACGTGATACCATGAATCTAAACAAAAAACGTTTGGGTAACATTCCAACACTGTTAAAAATTCCACAGTAATCCTTTGTAACTGTACTTGGATCAACTGTTTCTGATCCAACTAATAGGCAACCCAATGTTCTTTTCTCTTTCCAGCATATTTTTTTTGTTCTCATCGGATTAAATTCTTCTGGAGGTATGTATTTTATAACATGATTGTCAACCACCTGTAATTTTTTTAAATTATTCTATAAAAATCAGGAAAATTCACGCTGACATTGGCGAATGAAATATACCGACATAAAAAAAGAAGAATAAGAACCAGGAAAATTGTCTAAAAACTTTCAAAACTATATTTTAAAGTCACCTGTAGAAGTGTTGTTTGGAATTTTTTGCCATCTTTAGACCATAAGGGATAATTGCCTATTTTACGTGCAATTAAGCCCACTCTACGTGTGTAATAGTTCCACTTAACAGTTTGCTGATCTACATTAGCTAAAGGCGATTCCAAAGCAGATTGTGAATTAAGTTTCTCCTGCTTGATTTCTTCAATAAAATCTCTATTTTCTTGGGTTAACATATCCTCACTCATCTGAAATATGATAAAAGAAATAAATACATTTTTGAAAAAGGATACACATCAGATACTATTAAAGCAGAAAATACATACCACTCTTTCTTTGGGCATAAACCAATGTGGTGGTCGGTACTTTGGGGGTTTATAATATGCATTTTGTCTTATTGTAACACGATTCACGCTGAAAAAAAAACAGTTGTAGGGTATTGTGTTAGACATGCAGTATAAGAATATTCACAACGTTTACTGTCCCATGGATGTTGCAAGAGATGCCGGAAAAAACAGAAACTGGAGATGGATTCCTGATAACAACTCAAAATAATAAAAAATTGTGATTGCCAACCCACCGATAAAACTATAAACATCCAGCACTTGCATACCAAGGTGGGAAGAGGGTAGGGTTCAGGGGATACCCCCTACCCTTCTCCCTTTTGCGGAAAAGCATAGTTAATGAGTAATAATTTTTTTTTATTATATCATAACCTCACATTTTACACAGGAATAGCCCAAAGATACTTCTGCAACGGCTTCGGCACTACGGGAAGTGAATCTAAACTTTGCTATGATATTAGTAAATGAAAATGAAAATTGTTATAATTTAGTTTTCTAAAAAATTTCTAGACTGCTCTCCACTGTGACTCAATTTGTTGTGAATGAGTCCCATCTACAGCCACAAATGGATTGTCTGGGTTAAAAAAAAACAAATTGATATATTTGGGTTTCATTATATTATACAATTTTTAGTAGTTTATTTTTATTATAACTCAAAAAATAAAACACATTTCCTAAATCAAAATACAGTTTAAAAGGTTCAAGCCGTACAAACCTCCTACACTGAAAACATAATTAAAATAAAGTACCAGACGTGTACTTCATAATACTAAACCAAATTGACTTATTTGCGTTTCATTATATGCAATTTTTATTGAAATTTATTTTTATCGTAGTTAATTCAAAACACATTTGCAACATACGAAAACAGTGTAAAAGGTTCAAGCCCTGATAAGCCTACTAAAGTGTAAACATAATTATAATCAAGTACCGGATGTCTATAGCAAAACCCCCTTGCCTGCCAAGCGTGACAACTAAATCAAAATCCCCGCTATGATGCGATCTATGGCGGAGGCCTATGTACAACAGTGGAGTTTTATAGGCTGTAATGGAGGGTTATGTGTCTCGTGTTTCTTAGACGGATATGTTGGAACTACATAGGCAGGCACATGTATCATACGTACCTCAATTTACTGAGGGTTGTACATAAAATCTTCATATTAAATGTAGCCATTGTAATATTTTGTATCTTTTACTTTCCTAGTTTCTTGTAGTCTGTCCACGGATCTTCGTCTTTCACTTTCAACTGTAGGTGTTGACTGTCGTATTTTGTACTTCTATTTTTATAACGTAAGTATAAGTATAACCACAGAAGCACAGAACAAACCCTTGAGCACAGTCTAATATTATATTCACTTCACTGCGTTATAAGAGGCGGAATTTCCATATTAAAAATTAAAAAAGAAAAAGGTTTCAAGCAAAGAGACATCAAGTCAAGAGACATGAGCATGACATTAATTTAACCAGTGCTACCAACTCCAAAAAATATTTACCCCTAAAAGTTAAGTCAAAAACCCCTAAAATCACCTTATTTACTTGAGAAATTCCTAAAAATAAGGACAATGCTTCGTAACGTTCTTTACATATTAATTATTTAATTTTTCAAATATTATCTCGCTTTCTTCTAATGGTTCCGAGATTTTTAAACTATACATTTGAATATTAAATAAATCAGATAATCGTTACACTTGGTAGCATTTCAATAGATAACAAGAAATTGCAACCGTGATCATTATTGCTAAACATAGAACCCGAATTTTCAGATATTTTCAAAAGATTTACAGCCAGCTACGCCGCAATCATTGTAAACTTCTAAATAAAAATTAGCTAAAGTGGAAAAAAAATATATAAAAGTAAAAAATATAAAAAAGGCCGTGGGCGACGGCCCACTTTGCCCACGCCTAGCTACACCACTGCTTACAATCATGTAAGTAACACAATTAACAACACAAAACAAATTAGAAATAGCTTAGTAGTGATCACCTCATTCCCGGCGGTTATTATCATCAATAAATTCCGTAATATTATAATAACCCTTTTTATACAAACTTAGTTTGTTAAAGTTTTTGAACTTTGAGCAGATTTTGTATATTTTCTGGGATTTTGTTAAGTTATGTGTATATTGTGTGTATGTGTGTGAGTGTGATACATTAAGTTATTGCTCTCGTTGAATAATATTAACAATATTGTGAACACAATAAAATATATTCTCAATTAGCGAGTAACTTTTATGGTTTTACAAAATTGACTTAAAAAAGCATTTCTTAACGTTAAATTGTTGATTTTACTTTAAAATTAATAAATACATTGCTACATGACTATTACAATTACTGCTTTTAATTAATATGCATTACCTATCTGTATATGTATAAAAATATAACAGACTTCAGTATACAATAAAAAAAATTAATATGTCTAAATAAGTTTCGGTCTCGGTTTCAGTCGAAACTGATACCCAGACCGAAGGTTCGTTTTCGGTTGAAAATCTTGTTTCGCTCGGACACTAACAATAATACAGGAGCAGCAAACCGCCGCCGGTCAAGTTCCCGCCAAAACTCGACAAACATTAAACAACGCTGTCGACTTAGCAATTTTTTTTATTTTATAGGAGAGGGCGGAGCATGTGTCTCACCTGACCTGCGCCAATTTAGCACCCCATGTAATGATTTGCGAAATCAAAATGACCTTGATTGATAGGTCTACGTTAGGTTTTTATATGAAAGGGGGCAAACGAGCATACGGCTCATCTGATGGTAAGTGACTACTGTCGCCCATGGACATCTGCAACACCAGAGGAATTGAAGATGCGTTTCCGGCCTTTTTAAAAAGAGAAGCATTTTTTCGTGAAGGTCCCTAAGTCGTATCGGTCCGGAAACGCCAAAACTCGACAAACATTAAACAATGCTGTCGACAGAGCAATGTTTTTTATTTTATAGGAGAGGGCGGAGCATGCGGCTCACCTGACCTGCGCCAATTTAGCACCCCATGTAATGATTTGCGAAATCAAAATGACCTTGATTGATAGGTCTACGTTAGGTTTTTATATGAAAGGGGGCAAACGAGCATACGGCTTATATGATGGTAAGTGACTACTGTCGCCCATGGACAACTGCAACACCAGAGGAATTGAAGATGCGTTTCCGGCCTTTTTAAAAAGAGAAGCATCTTTTCGTGAAGGTCCCTAAGTCGTATCGGTCCAGAAACGCCAAAACTCGACAAACATTAAACAATGCTGTCGACAGAGCAATTTTTTTTATTTTATAGGAGAGGGCGGAGCATGCGGCTCACCTGACCTGCGCCAATTTAGCACCCCATGTAATGATTTGCGAAATCAAAATGACCTTGATTGATAGGTCTACGTTAGGTTTTTATATGAAAGGGGGCAAACGAGCAAACGGCTTATCTGATGGTAAGTGACTACTGCCGCCCATGGACAACTGCAACACCAGAGGAATTGTAGATGCGTTTCCGGCCTTTTTAAAAAGAGTAGGATGAAGGTCCCTAAGTCGTATCTGTATTGTCTGCTATCTTCTATTATCTGTGTAGTGTAGCACAGGCTCGGCACGCACTTAACTAAAACACGTCCACTCTCGCCCGAGGCTCTCGTGTAACCGACGCGGTGCACTCGAGACAGTGAATTATATATAAATGTATGTTGGTGTCAGTGGCGTAGCGTGCCTTTGATGGGCCCTGTATCAAAATTTGTTGGGGGGCCCCAATGAAGAGAATTTCATAAAAGGAACAAAACAAGCGTTTTTGCTTTGGTAGAGCCACGCGGCAGCTTTTGCTGTCGCACGGATGGGCCGGCTTAAACCGGGGTGGTACCACGACCTCACAGAATATCAGCGTGAAGTAGAGGTTTACCTCTGCGTTGCGCTTGGTGAGTGCAGGTGGCCGGAGGCCCAATTCCCCCTCGCCGCCCCATCGACATGGTAACGGAATTAAAGAAAAGACTACCCCAGCACACCTGGAGAATCCCTCGTCGAGCATCCACGACCAAACTACTCCACTCCTGAGCGTGGGTGCTCAGGCTGCCCCGCGTATTCTGGGGGGGGGGGGGGCAAAATTCCGCTCGCGACTAAGCCTGCTCGGGGCAAGCGGAGCAATAAGATCATGGCGACCCCTGTCACGCTATCCGTGAATTTTTGTTACTTCGCCTATGCGGATCCCAGATGTGGAGGATCATATTATATCTTCCCTGTTGGACTTTCTGCTGACCTCTCATCCGGACGGATATCAGATCTCCGTCGATGCCCCTCTGGGCTTCTCGGACCATTGTCTGATCCGGAGTACGGTGCCACTCACGTTCCCAACGCAGTTACGATCTGCAGCTTGCCGCCGTGTATGGCACTATAGGTCGGTCGATTCGGTCTTTATTTGCATCCTACCCTTGGGCGCGGCTTTGCTTCTCGCCGGAAGATCCCAGCGTTGTTGCCGACTCTGTTGCTGATTTGGTACTTCAGGGTATGGAATTTTTTATTCCATCCTCTGTGGTGCCCATCGGAGGCAGATCCGAGCCATGGTTTGGTCGCTCCTGTAAAATAGCATCACGCTATAAGCAGGAGTGCCTTCGGGCCTGGGCTGACGCATCAACGTCTCGGGATGTAAACACCAGCGCTCTTAAAAAGAAGTATAATTCCACCTCCAGGTCCTTCAAAAGCGTCATTGGCAAGGTAAGGTTCTGGAGTACATCGGCAGAATTGGCGAGAAGTTAGTTCGCCTTCCTACGGCAACCCGTGCATTCTGGTCTCTCGCCAAGGCTGTCCAAGGGAACTTCTGTCAGCCATTTCTTCCATCTCTGCAAAGAGAGGACGTCTCACTGGCCCATGCCACAAAGGAGAAAACCGATCTTTTAAGCTCTCTCTTTGCGTCCAACTCGACTCTAGGTGTTCCCCCCTAGAGTCGAGTTTACACCGCCGGCCATCCCGCGATGTGAGTGCTCCATGCCGGATGTGCGATTTACACAGCGCTCGGTTCGTAAAGCACTCTTCTCCCTGGACGTCAGCAAGTCGAGTGGAAAATCCAATGGGCTTCCCGAGAAATTGTGCAAATGGATCACCCGTTTCCTTGCTGATCGGAGCATCAAGGTCGTAGTAGACGGTGCATGTACTGATTTCAAGCCTATCAACGCTGGTATTCCACAAGGCTGCGTGCTATCACCAACGCTGTTTCTTCTGCATATCAATGATATGTTGCAAACTAGTAACATTCATTGCTATGCAGACGACAACATTGGTGATGTCTTATATACCGGCCGTGCCAATATTTCTCAGGAAAACGTCGCCGCGTACCGTGACAAACTTGTGTCTGAAGTCGAGTCTTTGCTGAACAAAGTCTCGGATTGGGGGCGACTAAATCCAGTCCAGTTAAATCCCCAGAAGATACAAGTTTGCGCGTTTACCGCTAAAAAGAACCCCTTTGTCGTATCTCCTCAGTTTCAAGGCACTCCCCTTGCTTCCTCAGCTAGCATCGAAATCCTCGGCGTCGACATATCGAATAGTGTGCAGTTTCGTGGTCACTTGGAAGGGAAGTCCAAACTGGCCTCAAAAAAGCTTGGCGTGCTCAGCAGAGCGAGACAGTATTTCATGCCGGCACATCGCTTGCAACTTTACAAAGCGCAAATCCGGCCTCACATGGAATACTGTTCTCATCTCTAGGCCGGGGCACCCCAGTGCCAGCTCCTTCCACTTGACCGCATCCAGCGCAGAGCGGTTCGAATCGTCCAAGTTCGACGACCGAGTTCTTTCTGATCGGCTCGATACACTGGCACTGCGTAGAGTTGTTGCATCTCTTTGCGTATTTTATCGCATTTACCACGGGGAGTGCTCTGAGGAATTGTTCGGACTAATTCCAGCCGCTCAATTTCACTATCGCACATCGCGATAAAACTTGCGATACTATCCATACCACCTGGATGATTGGCGGTCCACCACTGTGCGATTTAGAAGATGTTTTCTTCCTCGCACAACTTCCTTGTGAAATCGATTACCACCAGCGATTTTTCCGGGCCGATACGAGTTAGGGACCTTCAAGAAAAGAGCCTACTCCTTTTTAAAAGGCCGGCAACGCATCTGCAATTCCCCTGGTTCCCCTGGTGTTGCAGTTGTTCATGGGCGGCGGTAGTCACTTACCATCAGGTGAGCTGCATGCTCGTTTGCCCCCTCTCCTATAAAA